CTATTTAAGAGACTGAGCTGAAAACAGCACCTCAGACTGAAGAAGTCTCTCAGACGAGAGACGAAACGTTTCTACATTTTTTGTTGTTTTGCTTTGTTTTGGGTTTTTTTGAATGTCCAGAGGACCAGATTTAACTTTTTTAGACCTCAATGGGTGTTTTGGCCTGTGAACGGGCCTCAAAGACATTCATAGCACAATTTTTTATCTCACTGATGGTTTTCTCTTTGAAATTAGCCATCATCTGCCCTGAAATCCTTATGTCAGGTTGGAGATTTTTGCTGAAAATGAACTTAAACGCTTCTTCCTCCTCCATGCCGGTTTCATTCCTATAACCAAAATAAGCCTGCAAAATTCTGGAATAATATGCCCTTGGGTGCTCATTCTTACCTTGCATGACCTTGTCAGTGGTTGGATATCCGTCAGGTCCCACACAAGGGGTATACTCTTTCATAAGAGCAGCACATAACAGGCGGTAATCCTTTCTTGTGGCATCAGGTTGACGCTCTATGAAGGAAAACACCATCCTGGCTGAAGCGAGCCTGATCAAACCTACTTTATCCTCAACTGTAGCGTTGGGATAGCTTCTTAATTGGAAGTCAAGGTCGTGCAGATAGGCCTTAGTGTCGGTAGAACCCAACGGCCCTGGCTCAAAGCATTGGACATATTTCGCTATTTTATGCAATGCTGCTATTGAGAGTGGAGGCTGAGGGATTGGTGTCGTTGGAACAAAATAATCACGTGGAGGTGATTCACCAGATTCACGTGGAGGTGGCATAAGGGGATTATGTGTAGGAGGTACAGCAAAATCCTTTTGAGGTGGTGATGGTTGACCTGGACTCTGACCCAGTTCATCTTTGAGTTCCAGACATCCTTGCCCCTCGTCAGAGATTTTATTTGTGGCTGCGGCAAGTTTTGCCTCACAGGCTGGTAAGCGTTCATGTGATGTATGACACTCACTTTGTAAACGCACGCCTAGTTGGACTAACACCGCTTTTTCCAATACGCCCTTGTCCAGACATTTTGATGTGAGCTGCAACCGTTGGTGCAGAGCATCATTGTCTGAACCCAGTGCTTGGTACTTAACCCCTCCTTCACGTAGCTTTTCCTCATATAAGTCTGCTTGTAACAGCAGCTGAGCTTGTGAGAGCTCTTTTTCACTTTTCAATTTATCCTTCCAGCTCTCCTTCACCAATTGAAACTGTGCTTTGAGTTGTAGACATTCATCAATTGTTGTTTCGCAGGCCTCTCTCTCGCATTTCACCCTTATTGTAAGGGCTTGTGCCCTGTTGGCCTCAAGGTAAAATTTAGCCTTTAGCAAGAGTGCTATTTTAGCTAGTTGTTTATAGCCTGACTTTTTTATGGCTGCAGAAGTTACACTGCCTGCAACTTCCCTCAGCTCGTCCAATAGCTCTGTTGAGGTCATGCTGTCCACCTGTTCACCATATGGATATAAGGAATCTGTTAGCAGCCTTAGGGCTGTCTCAGGCCAGTCCTTTTTATCACATGGAGTCACATCAGCATTCTCAGCTTCTGTTAAATCTGCCATGGTTGTATCCACTGTTCAGCAAAACCTATCTGGTTAAACCGTCGCAATCCTAGAGTTTTTCAACAGGTAAATGTTTGTATTTAAGTGAGCAGTGAGTTTCACACACCATTTTAGATCTGGGTTTTATTAACAGTGCTGTTATAGGCCAATTTTTCAATAAATGGACACCTGTGTTTAGGCTTTATCCCATTAATATTGTAAGTAAATGCTTCCTGTGGCAGTGTTACTTAATATGAGCTTAATTCTAACAGATACAAGAGCCAGGCTATTTCATTGTTCATTTACTCCAATGCACTTAAAATTAAATAAACCTGCAATATTTTCTAAGAAAACTGACAGCAACTTTGCAGTTGTAAACACTCCTTAAGCAGTTTAATTTACCAGAATTTGCTATTTAAACAGTAACTCATAAACCAGGCTTGATTAACAAAACATTTTTTAAATGAAAAGCGAGACCGCAGCTCTCAGTTCTGAAAAACTGTTATACTCTTTTTTTTTCAACAGCAGGTGGCAGTATAAGCTTACTTTTATCGGTAGGAGTCACTGACGACTTCCTGTGAACCGTCCTGTTGACATCCGGTTGTTAGCCGTTAGCTACGATGTAGCAACGGTCGAACCCGGTTCAAATCAGCATTTATGGACGATTGAAAGCTTTAACGTGGTGTCGCTTTACAAGCATGCTCTTTATGCATGGACTCATGAGATTAGGAACTAATGTCAGGGCTTTATTCAGCTTTTTTAAACACAAAGGAAGACTCCGTTAAAACGAGCTTCATTTCTGGGGTCACGTGACTTTACAGACACAAGAACATCGGGGGTGGGCTTTTCGCACTGACGCCAGAGTGAGTGGACGTACACGGTGTTACATCACCAGCTTCTCAGTGAATCAGAACGTCCCAAACAGCGGTCCTCGACCAATCACAGCTCGTGTGTACTCGCCTTAAGCTAGCAGTTAGCATCAACAGTCCGGTCAAATTATCGCCCATTAAAGCCTCGAAAATGCACAATTTACTGTGAAAATGTAACGAATCAGCATAGAAGCAGCACTGAGATGGCGCTCAGCTTCAAAGACAACGCATCACCATTTAAAACACAACTCGTCGAGTCCAGTAAACAGAACCGGGTCGAACACGCAGAACCCCCGTTGATGCTAGAGTTTCAAACAGAATGAATGCGTTATTCGCTCTGCTCACAGCTTAATTACACTAACAGTTTGACAATTTCAGCTTCAAAATGAACATCAACGCAATTCTGCATCTTTCTGAATCCCACAGCCGTAGAATATGTCTGTACCAAGGTCAAAACTCTGACTTTTTTATGCCAACATGACGAGTTTTCACAGTATCACCAGTCACACATAATTTATCTCTGCAGAAACGTTACAAGCCACCAATTATGTAATAATGTCAGGACAGCTTTGCTGTAGACACAGAAATAAATTATTCTTCAAGCTAGTTCAAACACAAAGAATATTAATTGTTAATTACAATGGATTATTTTCTTTTTCGAGTTAAATTTATGCCATGTGACCGAGATAACTGTGAGTGGATTGTTTAATCAGTGACATGAGACGCCATTTTATCTTTGACCCATCAGAATAAATGCGGTCATTTATTTAACAGAATCAAAATTTAACATCAAAACATGTACACATTGATTTGCTGATCTGTTTCTGATTAATAAAAACTTGTCACGATTTACTAACAAGACAACAGAACATTATTGATTGAGGCTGATTCACCTCTGAAGGCATCTAGATTACTGGCAAATAGAAAAGTTTAAAGAGAAGACATAGATTTAAAGAGGAAGATGGATGAAGGAAGATGTATGTTTGTTGACTAGAATTAGCACTCTTCTTTCAACACCAGCTCAACCCCCGGTCCACTTAGTGCGTGACAACTCGTGACGTCTCTTTACCTTTGCAGTGGATGGATCAGCTCCAGTATAGAGGTCCCTTTGCACGCTACCTTTCAGCGTCTCCGGTCAGGGTGGCTGGTCATCATCCGAAGTTGTGATGATGTACTCTGTTCAACAGAACAAGCTTCCTTCGAAGTTGTAGGGCGTTATTCCCGGGTGAGTTCACAGTGAGGCGCTGTGACTCCGCTGGGATGGACGGGCCCTTGTCTCACGGTCAAATCCATCAGCTATTGATTAAATCTGAAAGTTCCTTAGGAACTCTCAATAAGACTCCAGTCAGAAATTCCACTCAGAAGTGGAAGACTCCTGTGAAGACTTCGTAGTGGAAGAACTGAAAGACTTCAAAGACTCAAGGAAGACTGAAAGAAGACTGAATAGTTCCAGGAAGTGTTGACTTTTTAAAGAGTACTCACTTCCTGTCACTTGGTACTTCCTGATTGGTTGAAACAACCAGCAGGGGGGTGGTTCTACTGATGTCAAGAGGGTCACTAGGAGTCAAGAGACAGCAGGAATGTTTACGAACGGTTAGTACAGATAGAGAAATGTTTATGAAGAGGCGAGACAAAGCAGGTGCCAGTTGAAGTTACTTACTGTCTGCTAGTTTTAAAAATAAGACACTTCGTTCTAATAACTCGTCTCTGTTTGTCTCTGACTTTTGACCGACATCACTACTCCTCATTCAGACAGAAAACTAAAATGCGCACTTACTTTGTAAATAGACATTTAACTTGATTTCAAAGTCTAATGAGGTTTAAAAATCATTAATACTGTTTCACAGTTGATTTAAATGAGTGGTTCACTTCAACATTTAGAAATGGTATGAACTAAACACACTTTGGATTATCAAGATATCTTAAAATAGTAATGATAATGTAAAAAAGTAGAGTGTTCTTTCAATTGATTAATTCAACAGCATGTGCTTTGAGTTGTAGACATTCATCAATTGTTGTAAATAGTCTCTTGATGAGATAATTTGTATTTCTGGATTCAAATCAATGAAATAACAGTTCCTGTCCCCTGAAGGTCTTCACAGACAAGTTCAGGTCTGAGGCCTAGTTCACTACATCTTTCTCTATCTTCATCAGATAAATCACAGATTATTATTTTTGTAATAAAATACATAAAAATCAACTAAATTTGTGATTATTTTGGCATATCTGTGCGTATTAACTGATTTTATGCCCCTTTAAACACGGGAAAGAATTCACGTTTCACTTACATTTAATTTGAGGGTAGTGACTGATGTCTCTTCTGCAAAGAGGTGGTCCCTGCATAACGAGGTTATTTGCATAATAAATGCATATCTTATGAGCTTAACTCATAACTAATAAATTATATTACAATCTCTACAATCCCCTTATGTCCATTACATCTGAAACAAACCCAAAGCAAATTCTAATAAAGTTTTATTTATATATCAAGTGGAGCATTAAAAGTCAGCCATATTGCTCTGCTTGTGAAAGTAAATTTGTTTGGCATCACTTTGACACTCAGACAATAATTCTAAGTGTCACAATGCCGGACAGGACAAGGGGAGGAAAAAAAAAGTTGTTGTTAGTTGAGCTTTTAGCCCAGAGGAAAGGAGCGAACTGAGGCAGCACACATACGCATTGGGTGAAGGTACAAAATTCACAGCGCCATCTAATGACCTGGCATGGTAACTACAGCGAATTTGGGATGGCGGGGGGAGATTCTTCCAGTTGCATTTAAACACAAAATTTATCCGTGTCAAAGTGGATCTTTTCCTCTAATATGAAAAAAACTATGTTTCCCCCCACCTTGCCCATGTAAATAGGCTCTTACAATGCTGTTACTGCTAGTATCACTCAGCCCCTTGTGAATAGCAAACAGCTATCAGGGTGCTAACGATCCATTGTTAGGATGATGGTCCTCTTTGATCATGTGAACAGCTAGTTTTGGTTGTCAACAGCAAACTGGTGGATCCACTATGAGAAGGTGCTATTTAAGAGACTGAGCTGACTACAGCTCCTCAGACTGAAGAAGTCTTTCAGATGAAAGACTAAACGTTTCTACAGTTATTATTTTTTGTTTTGTTTTTTGAACATCCAGAGGACCTGACTTAACTTTTTTAGATTTGAGTAGTGACAGAAAGAACAAGATCTTGGTCAAGTGGTTGAAATCAGTTTTCTTTGCCAATTAGCTAGGCTCTCTTCAACAGTTAGGGTAAGAAGTTTGGACTTTTAGGAGACTCTGAGTACAGCTGCTCCTCCTCCACATTAAGAGAAGCCAGTTGCGGTAGTTCGAGCGTCTATGCCTCCTTGATGCCTTTGTAGGGAGGAATACATGGCATTTCCAACTGGGAGGAGACCTGGAAGTATGCCCAGGACATGCTGGGGAGACTGTATCTTAGTTGGCCTGGAAATACCATATAATCCTTAAAAAAAAAAAAAAAAAGCGGGAAAATGTAACTGTAGAAGAGATGTATGGGCCTCCATGATCTAGCTGTCGCCCCTGAGACCAGGCTCCAGAATAAGAATAAGGTACTGAATGGATGGAAGGACTTTGCATGCAAGGTGGCACATAATATGCATTGCTTCAAGGTATAATTTTTTTAGTCATTTTACTTCTAATCATATGCTTTTTTGTAATTAAATTTAACACTGAAAGTTTTCACCTAACCTGTGCACTGGAATATTCTGGTAAATTCTGGGTGTACTGGATTACTTTTTGGTTAGGCATGCATGGTGCCAATTTCTGTAAATAATGAGAATAAATGTGATACCTTTCTTACAGAAATGGAAACTCCCAATCATCAGCACCAATAATAATTTATTCACTTTAGTGAATGTGACCAAAGGTTTGCTGTATGACAGAATACTTACTGGCTTTTGGTTGCAAGTGAGGAGTTGAGCGTTATTTGATGTCACAACAAAAGAACCTACAGGAGATGACCCACCGAATTCTCCAGCTTGTAACAGGAAACCAGCAAATGATGTGGATCCCAGACTCTGCAGATTCACTTGAAAACAAACAACAAAACAAATGAAAATAATGAATTTTTTGGTCTACCATAACCCTGCAGCAAAGAGTATGACCCCAAAGCAGAACTTTTAGACAGGAGCAGTGATGGAACCAGACATTTTTCATAGGGGTGGCCAGAATAAACTTTTATCACAAGGGAAATCAAGATTCAAGGTTCTTTATGGGACCAGAATGAGACCAGAATGGGACCAGTGCTCACACATGGGTCGTCCAAAAAATTTCAATTTTTTTCCCCTACGTACCAAATTATTGTGGATCTAGAAGTAAACACATGTAACATAACATATAAGTGAACACATAATCTCCTTAAAGTTTTCCTAAACTAGTGACGACATTGTTCATAACTTATGACTTTTATACTGTTAATAGCCAAAATGAGCCAACATTTTCATATTTGTTTCATATTCTACACATTACCTGCAAGAGAGGAAAATCCATTTTATTACTGGAGGGACAGACGGTAAACTAGAAAATTCAATGAGCAATTTTTGGGTGACACTAAAGATACAGTCAAACACATTATTGTAAAATGAATTAAAAAATAATAATTGTTTTGGCCAGGTAGACAGCTGCAGGACAGCAACTTCAGATGTTATCAGCTCATTAAATGTACGTTATGTTGTTATCATCTCCATAGATTGCGTTCAGGCTGTCCCTCCTACCACCTAGTAGTTTTAAAGGTACATACCCTTCTGATAATATGCAGCTTCGCATGCATGTAAAACAGGAAGTGTTTTTTTTTTTTTTTTGTTACGTCAGGAATAAAATAATGTTTAATTACAGATTGTGGGAAATAAGATAAGGTGGGTTGGTTCATATAATGTTTAATCAAGAATTGGGAGAATAAAAATAAGGTATGATTATAGTTTGTGGTGGCAGCACGGTGGCACAACTGGTAGAGCTGCTGCCTCTCAGCGAGGTTACCGGTTCAAATCACGGTCCGGGGGCCTTTCTGGGTGGAGTTTGCATGTTCTCTCCGTGCATGTGTGGGTTTTCTCCAGGTATTCCAGTTTCCTTTCACAGACCAAAAACATGCATGTTAGACTGATTGGTAACTCTAAACGGTCCCTAGGTGTGTGAGAGAGAGTGAATTGTTGTTTGTCTCGTTTGTCTCTATGTGGCCCTGTGATGGACTTGCAACACGTCTAGGTTGTACCTCGCCCCTCGCAGAGTGATTGCTGGACATGGGCACCGGCGACCCCCGTGACACAAAATGGAAGAAGCGGGTAAAGATAATGAATGGATGGATGGATATAGTTTGTAGGAAATATACTATGAGTTGGTTCATGCAGCACGGTGGCGCAACTGGTAGAGCTGCTGCCTCTCAGTGAGAAGGTTGCAGGTTCAAATCCTGGTCCAGGGGTTTTTCTGGGTGGAGTTTGCATGTTCTCTCTGTGCATGCGTGGGTTTTCTCCGGGTACTCCGATTTCCTCCCACAGACCAAAAACATGCATGTTAGGCTGATTGGTAACTCTAAAATGTCCCTAGGTGAGAATGAGAGAGTGAATGGTTGTTTGTCTCGTTTGTCTCTATGTGTCCCTGTGATGGACTTGCAACCTGTCCATGGTGTACCCCGCCCCTCGCACAGTGATTGCTGGACATGGGCACCAGCGACCCCCGTGACCCAAAAATGGAATAAATGGGTAAAGAAAATGGATGGATGGATGGATATATACACGCATGAAGATTACAAGCCATTGGTTCAGGTATGTTGACGACACCTGGGTTAAAATTAAATCTCAGGAAGTCCAACATTTTACTGACCACATCAACTCTGTGGATAAATACATCAAATACATTACGGCAAAGACTGGTTCATCCCAAAGATCCAGTCCCCCGGCACAAACAGAGTAATGTTGTGTATGCTGTTCAGTGTCAGGAGGGCTGTGATCAGTCTTACATCAGGGAAACTAAACAGCCACTGGCCAAAAGGATGGCCCAGCACAGAAGATCAACATCATCAGGCCAGGATTCTGCGGTCTACACTCATCTCCAGGCCAGTGGTCACTCTTTCAGGAATGAAGATGTTCACATCCTGGACAGAGAGGAACGATGGTTTGAGAGAGGAGTAAAGGAGGCCATCTTTGTGAAAAGAAATCGTCCATCATTAAACAGGGGTGGAGGCCT